CGTTATTCTTCTCTTAACTATTTGAGCTGATGTAAATTTCTTCACTGTGAGATCAATAAAGTCAATTAATCAATCAATATGTTAGGGTTTATTTCACAACAGAATATTTTTTGTATATTTATGCAAAAGTAGAAACAGCTACAGGTATAAGGAGAACCAGATCGGTCTCACTTAGCTATGAGAAATGATTTATTTCAGTGCTTCAATGAAGAGGAGTAATCCATAAAAAAAAAGAACTTTAGTGCTGGATCCAAGCATATCAATGGAAGGTTAAGTGGAAGGAAGAAGTGTGGTAGAAAACTATGTGCAAACTAGGACTTAAACAATTAATCTAATTAATTGTGATTAATCAATTATTGAAATAATTGGCAACTAATTTAGTAACTGATTGTTTACTGGAGTATCGAGACTGTAAAGAGTGTCTTTAGCTGACAGGGCAACCCACTTAGAGCAGTTCAAGACTGTAGAAACTATATAAACATTTTTGCATTAAAAAAAGGCTGTCAGTATTCTCTATCTAGAACCCCCCAAGTGGAAAAGTTTGAGTTTCACCTGGTTTAATTTCATAAAAAGTGTTCTTTAAAGAATCTTTGGCTATCCGATTATTAATCTAAAAAATGATTAATCGATACGCAAATTAATCCTGATAATTTTTTTTTTTTCATTTAAAAAATGTATGTTTTTCTTGTATGGCAGCTACAATGTGGCAGAAGAAAATGGACCAGATTTTTCAAAGTTCTCCTCTCAGACCAAAGTAACATTTAAAATTCATTTAAGACCCTGGAGTAAACAGACCCACGCTGTTTGAGTGACCAGTGGGTGATTATCTAGGGAGCCATGTCCTCTGCTTGTTCTGATCTCTTATGTTTGATCAAGTTCAAAGTAAGAGCGGCCCTTTAACAGGAAATCTTAAAGCAATTCAAGCTTCCCTTTGCAGACATTGCAGACATGCTATTGTCGATTTGTTAATCTTTTGTTTCCATTTGGACGTGACACCTATCAAAAGCCCCGATAACTGATTTAATGGTAGTATAAACACTTGATGCATATCAAATTGATAGGGATGCACATGTATAAAATTCAAAACGAATTTAATAACACAATTAACATAATAGAAAACCTAGATAGATGCAATTATCCTGATCTTCAAGATTATTAAAACTGTTATAGTTTATTGATAACTATTTTCACAACGTTTGCAACTGGAGTGAAAAAAACAAAAGCAAATTCCAGCACTTATGTAGCTCTTTGAAAACTCTCTGACTAATTTATAAAAAATAGAAACTAACACGAAGAAGGAACAAGCGCAGCTTCGTGATTTGTGAAGAAGTGCAGCGGCTCGACATGCTACAGTGAACACATTCTGGTCTCCTCCAGCCTGAACACAGGAGACAACCACGAAACTTTGCAGCTCTGAGAGTCGCAATTTTAAAGTGAGCTACTGGCTTACATAACGTCCTCTGCTATCAAACTAATCGGAAGTGGCAGCATCAGAGGAGGCTTTTAGGACCACATGAAGATGGCTCTGTTTAACTGAGAAATGACTAACCAGGTGTGTTTGGATCTTCCACATCATCACAGCCTGAATTCTCTCTTATTCTCTTCTGTATTCAACCCATTTAATATCCATTCCACTCTTATATGGATTGACAGCACTAACCTCTCACTCGCTTCTAAACATGGATTTTTTTCTCTTTAGTGCCAATATTACAGGCTTGGTGATCACCAGATGCATCTCAGGTTACGTTTTAACTCCAAAAGTTCAACAAGGTATTTTCTTATTACATCTAATTTAGTTCGTTTTATTGCTCCACTCTTGTGAAATCCTGGTTTTACTGCTGGAGAAGATCAGTCACGCCTGATATCTCTGGCTACACCAGACAAGTTTCAACTTCACTGCATAAAAATGTAGGGATGCAGACTGCTTTGAAAAGAAAAAACGCAATTAAAATCAGCTAATAACAATGCCAAGGTTAAACAAGGATTTAAAACTTGCTGAAAAATGTCCCATTAGAACATAACTTTGTTTTAAAGCCGGTCTAGGAAATACTAGAGTAATCATTCCGCTGGAGCGACGACAATTTGACTGTAAGGTGGGTTGTCAAAAATATCAATACTGCAAAAGGTGTCCATACCAATTTGGCATGGTATTATTGCAAAAAAAGAAATGATGCTTTCATATTTTTTCTATTTATAGATTTCAGATTATTTTCACATTAAATGTAAATTATTTCTACCTAAAAATACTGTTGATTTGTTTTATATTTGGGTTATTTATCTTGCATATATTTGCACAATTACTTAAATAATAGAATCTGTGATTCAGTTGAGAAAGAATGTTTCATTTTAAAATTGCATGTTAATATATATTTTTATGCCCTTAATTATTTGGCTTTTTTTTTTTTATTATATAGTACTAAAAATCGAGGGTATCAAAACAAGTTTGGAGTTATAGCATCATGATAACCTCTATTCTAAGGCAATATTACTATAAGATTATAGTAATCACTGTGTTGTATTGTTCTAGAGGCAATGGGAATAAATCTTATTGTTAAGTGTAAAATTAAAGAAATTTGATTATCTGCTACATTTTTTTTTTGAGATTGGTAATAAAGTAATAATATAATAACTAAACCTCTCAACAAAAAGCTGAGAGTAACGCTACGTTTACTTTATCATACAATAAGAATCTCATATTCCCCCATGGCTAGCTTAAACTGCTTGTTTGTAAAGGATAACCAGGGAAGAAATTATTTTAAAGTACCTGGAAGCCCCTAGAAATCCCTTCGATCTCTTCAGTAAATTGACATCTTATTGCTTTTTAAATAAAGTATAATTTTCCAGAAGTGCTCAGAGCCCTCCATATTACCCACAGTTCCCAGTATTGACTGGATGACTCATAAAACCCCCAACACTGACTAATGGAAAGGTATTCTGAAAATTTGCTGCAATGCAATCTGTTTTGTTTTATCCTAACCTCCACGGCAGAACCAATTACAGGCAGAGCTAATCAGCATCCCACATCCTATCACTCACTACCCCCACTTTGCATGCGTCTGGCTCCATTTCAGCCTGCACGCAGCAGGGATTTTATTTAATCAGCTAGTTGCAACAGTTGGAAGGCTGTGTCTAAGCCTCGGGTGAGCATGAAGCCGGGGTAAGAGACCTCTACGGCTCTTCGTTTCAGAAGAGCTTGCTCTTTTTGGATTACTGTCAGACGCATTACACTGGAGTCTAATGTAACCCGCATCCATGAAGGCTGGCTGCTCCACCTCTGTCCATTGATTTGACTGGCAGGAAGAAAACAACTGGATTACATAATTAATGTGACTGCTCCCATTTGTAGACTTGCTTGACTCTGAAAGGGCCAAAACAACCGAGTGATAATGGAGCACAAGCATGTCCTGTCATGATAGACTGTAACTGGTTAGATGACTCCACCCTTTAGTTATTAAAATACCAAAATAGCGTTCACAGTACCTCCTTTGCTTGCAAATGTAACAGTTTGTCCTAAAGCATGTCTAGTACGGCACGCAAGAGGAAAATAACAGAACCAGGGCACTGAAAAAATGTTTGCACTGATAACTCTGGGACATAAATAGAAAATTGTCCCATTATTTTTCTTTAACAGAAGTTGAATTAAATTCCTAAAATAAATCAACAATTCTAATATTATGTGTTGATTTGCTCAGTCTAAGTTCTCATAACTACTGACTATTTTTTTTATACCTCATTAGCCATAGCTCTTTATGTATTTAAAGTTGAAGCATCCCCACAGCATTATTTTTCCAATACCGTGCTTGACAGTGGGGGTGATGTATTCAAGTTCTTTGGGGGTTTCTTTTTTGCAACTCTTTAGTAAACTGCCCTTTATGAAGTACTTTAAAATCAAACAAAAAAAAAGCAAACTACATGATTATACTGTCATTCATACAGAAGAGGATTAGGGCCACAGAAAAATTTTTTAAAAAGTTAACTGATTTTTTTATTTTATTTCTGTATATTGTAAGAAAAAAGTCAGAATTTGGACTTTAATCTCAGAATTCTGACTTTAATCTCAGAATTCTGACTTTAATCTCAGAATTCTGACTGAATTCTGACAGGTTACCATCAAGCCGTAGCCATGTCTGCTTTAGGGACTAAACTAGCTCTCTTGTTTTAATCTCCTTCTACTCTTCTATTTATGAAATAGCATCACAGAGGACCCATCAGGCACGTAGAAAGTCGTCCAATTCCGTCATTTTCCACCAATGTGTTGCTGGCCCTCCCAAACAACTCAAATCTTTGTCAGTGAAGCTGTGTGCTCCCACATCTCTTCCTTCATGGTGCCCATCTGCATTAAAATTCTGAGATTAAAGTCAGAAATCAGAGAAAAAAAGTCAGAAATCTGAGGAAAAAAGTCAGGAAAAAGTCAAAATTCTGAGATTAAAGTTATAAATCTGAGATTAAAGTCAGAAGTCTGAGATTAAAGTCAGAATTCTGAGAGAAAAAAAGGCAGAATTCTGAATTCTTTTTCCCCCCCCATGATAAACAAAAATAATATTTAAAAATAAGTTAACTTTTTTTCCCCCAGTAAACCTAATCATCTACCATACATTCATGTACCAAAGCAGGGTGCATAAAGTATTATTTGATTTTTAATGAAACTCCAAAAGGTGCATCAAAGCTGCAGCTCTTTAAATGGTTTCTAGACTAAGAAAATTGGTATTATGGATTGAATAAACAGAGGACATCAAAGCCGGTTTGAAAATTGTTGCATTATACTTTAGATTTAATGCATAGTTGTTGTTGTTGTTTTTTTTAAAGTTTATTTCAACTGTGGATGGATACAAAGAGTTGTTATCTCGTTTAGAATAATCAGGCTTAAACGGTGCGTGTTTTCACCCACGAGTGAAACTTAATCCTCGAGTAAAGTGTGTCCACAGAAGCCGACACCATCCGAGTTTTATGTTTTTCCATTGGTTGGGTTTATAATCTGCATTAAATGCGTAAAAACTTACATATCGGTTGATGAGAGTCCGAAGGGTGCTGAAATCCATCCCCATCCTGCTCCTATTCCCTCTGCAGACTCTTCGCCTTGTGATCGTGTGAAGCTTATTTCCTCTCTGTAGCCGCTTTTCTCTTCATATGTCTTTCTCTGTCCATGACTTCTTCTCTCAGGCTTGTTTTCTTTTAAGTAGAAATAGGGCTTGGTCCCAAAAATCCCGCTTCCGACACAGTAGACCTGTTCTCACCTTTGGAGACTGGAAGAAGATTGTGAAGTAGTGGGAGGAAGCTGAAAGGGGAGCGTCTGTTAGTGAGCTGTACCCAGAGAAAGTCAGCTGTCCTCCGCTCCCCTCTACCTGAGCGCGTGCACTGATAATCCTCTAGTCTCGCGCAGCGGCCAAAGCAGATTTTCTGTCATGTACGTCACGCGGAGCCAGGTGGTGCGTCTGGCCGGGGCTGGGGCGCATGCGCGCTCCATCGTTTTCGGCGGGTCATTGACTAGTTGTTTCAGTTACAGCCTATCGATTTGTTGGGATGTCCACCTACAGGTGCATCTCTATAAATCAGAATATAAGAGAAAAAGTCATTTATATAGGTGAATTACACAAATTATATTTATATATATTATATATAATTGAATTATTTTTTTTAAGCAAATACCTCCTAATATACTGCTTAAGCTACTGGCAAAATAATTTTTACTCCTATTTTTACAACGTTGTACAGACTGAAGACAGTATTTGAAAATAAAAGCCCCTCAGGGAATCCCCGGATTACTTTAATTTCAATATCAATGAAGAGCTATTATTTTTGGCTGTGTGGGCACATTAAATGTCCTACTGGTAATAAAATCACCATCCTCATAATGCTTGTATGGCCATAGAAATCAAGGCATTAAATGATCTATTATTATCTAGGCTGCCCTGACTTTTATGGCTGCGAAAAAACTAGTAAGAGCGACATCACACAAATCTTCCTGCATTTTATACAAACTATAAAATGATTGCTTGCTCTACACTTTTCATGGTATCTTCATTTTAAATGGTATTGAGTAATAGCCTAATTTTATGACAAACCAAATATCTGAGATTTCATTGGCTGTAAACATGAATGATCAGCATACAAATAGATGCTTAGAACAGATTGCTCAGTTTTTAATAGATGTACAATATGCATATGTAGCTGTCTTTATCTAGATAGATTATATAAACTGAGTCTCAAATAAAATTATAAATCCATTTGCCATAAAAATCAAGGTAAGATTAACTCAATGTGTACCAAGTGTTTTTTTATTCCTTTATTTACTGAATGATATCTTATGAAATTTTTGCTTATCATTAATGAATACAAACCAGATTTTAGAGGATAATCATTTTCCTTCCTGACCCTGTTAACTGGAAACTTCTCCGTAGCATTATACTGCCCCTGCTATGCTTAATAATGAGGATGGGGAATTCAGGGTGATGTGCACTGGTAAACTATTAAATAACACTAATTAAACTATTATATAAACTATTTTGCTAATGATGTGAAATTTTGTGTGTTACAAAAACAAGGACAATTATTTCAGTGCACAGCTGGGTTGATAATTTGGTTTCTGATTATTTCACATAAAAGCTGCATCTTATCTCCGTAGGTCCCATCTTTAATACTACTAAAAATCTGATCATTAAGTGCATTTATCAGGGAAATATGTTGCCCTACTCCTGAAACATTCTGTACAATTAAAAAACATTCATTTTTTGGCAAATGTGGGTTTGTTTATTGTTGTTGTTGTTTTTTTGTTTGTTTTGTTTTGTTGTTTCCTCTTTTTAATGGGACAATTTACCAAAATAAAGTGACTGATTGATTGATTGATTGATTTTCCATGTTTGGTTAAAAGAAAAAACAATGAAATAAAACATGATTTAAAGAAACAATTCCCTTTTTTTTAATGAAATATTAGACCATATATGCTTTATATCAATAATGGCAGTACTAATGCATTTGTCATACATTTTATATAACCTTCAAACTCAATCCATAGCCATTCAACTTCCCTTAATTTGGAGTTTAATAATTAACCAAACTGTTAATGCTAACAACACAAAATTGAAGCAATCATACACAAATAGTTTATAAGGAATGTGAAATGCTACTAATTAAGATTAGTTTAAAATATTCTCATACACTTTAGTATGAGAATATTTATGAGAATAAGTATGAGAATAAGTATTACTTTTGCTAATTCGAAACCCATTAAACTAATGTTGCTTTAATTTTTTATACTAATTTATTATATTAGTGGTTTGATATTTTACATGCAATATTCTGTTACTAGCTAGAAATTGTAAACAACCTTCTTGTGGCTCAAGATCATAGTGGAACTAAAGACAATTCTACCTTGTTTCAAGGGGGAAGTATTTTCGTTAAAAAGTCCGTCCTCTGTTCCTTCGATACGCTTTCGGCGGGTTCAGATGAATCACTTGTAAAGTTTAGTAATAGAGCACCAACTACTTCTTGTTATTAACTTCAAAATAAAACCTGCCAAGGTTATTGAACAAAACAGACAATAAAATCAATGAAACATAAACCTTCCCTCATAACAATATCAGGGACGGTTTGTGCAGATTTCATTTTAATCATTTCTATCATGTTTGGAAAAAAAAGGTTCTATAAATAATACAAGACACAAGACATTTGCTAAGTTTCAATTTTATTTGTTTGAGGAAAATTCTTTAAAGATTGTTGTAACGTATCATTTTGAGTGCAATTTTTAGGGTATCATTAATTGATTCAACAGGTCTTGCAATAGAGCTAGTTTATTTAAATGCTGAGCATTTGTTTGGAATCAATTTCAATTGATTTATTCTGTCATAAAAAAAAAATCTTGAAGCATTTTATGAGGTGTTTATTTTGTTTTCTTGTAATTTTATTGGACTGAATTTTTCAATTATGCCTGTTAGTGTTGGGCCCTATGTACACAAGACGAATAGGGCCACTGAAAAAATAAATAAAAGTTAACTGATTTTTAAATTTTATTTCAGTTTAATATGAGAAAAAAGTCAGAATTCTGACTTTTTCCTCAGAATTCTGACTTTAGTCTCATTCTAACTGAATTCTGACAGCTAACAAACATGTTAGCGTCAAGCCGTAGCCATGTCTGTTATGGAGACTAAACTAGCTCTCTTGTTTTAATCACCTTCTGCTCTTCTATTAATGAAATAGCATCACCGGGGACCCCCTAGGCAATTAAAAAGTCGCGGTCAATTTCCACCAATGTGTTACTGGCCCTCTCAAACAATTTACATCTTTGTTAGTGAAGCTGAGTGCTCCCACATCTCTTCCTTTATCGTGCCCATCTACAATTAAAATAAAAACATTTTGAGATTAAAGTCAGAAACCTGACAAAAAAGTAAAAATTCTGAGATTAAAGTCAGAAACTTTAGAAAAAAGTCAGAATTCTGAGAAAAAAACGTCAGAATCCTGAGATTAAAGTTAGAATTCGGAGGAAAAAAAAGTTAGAATTCTGAGATTAAAGTCAGAATTCTGAGAAAAAAGTCAGAATTCTGAGATTAAAATCAGAATTTCTAAGAAAAAAGGTCAGAATTCTGAGGAAAAAAAACGTCAGAATCCTGAGATTAAAGTTAGAATTCGGAGAAAAAAAAAGTTAGAATTCTGAGATTAAAGTCAGATTTCTAAGAAAAAAGGTCAGAATTCTGAGATTAAAATCAGAATTCTGACTTTTGTCCCATTTTAAACTGAAATAATATTTGAAAATCAGTTAACTTTTTTTTTTTTTTTTTTTCCAGTGGCCCTAATCCTTTTCCATACCTATGGTACTATGATCTTACGTCTGTGCTCTTATTTTGAAAGGATCCGGTCTCAGTCTTTCTGCGCCATGCTAGCATGACCCTCTTAGTCAAAATGGCGTTGCTAGAATTGGGAGGCTGCAGTTAGTTCACATCCATTTAACGTTTATATTATTTAGGGAGCAATAAACACGGTATCCACGGACACTATGGCGAGTCTGGACCAGAAATCTCCCAATGTTCTGTTGCAGAGCCTGTGCTGTAGGATCACAGGGAAAAGCGAAGGTACGTCAGTTACCGCTAGCTTGACCGCCTTCTTATCATACCGGAGCTTTTAGAAGGAAACTCCCATTGTAAAAATTGTAATTTTGTTTTAACAAACAATATATTTGTCTTTATGCATCCTAAGCACACAACAAATACATCAAACAATTCGTCAATATAAACCGGAAGTTTCGGCATGATTTTCTTTGCCCGACCTGTCACTGACCATGAATAATTTACGGTTTTCGACGCTGAACTCTTTCAGTTGTAGCGGCATAAAATCGTTTTAAGCTCCCGGAGATCAGCCAAGAGGAACTCTTTTAATACTTAGCTATTCCTAAATAAAATTAATAAAAACGTTAATTTAATAGTTATGTTTTTAATATATAATATTTTGGTTAGTAGGGACACGTAGAGGTCTCGTTCCCAATCCCGCTTCCCAGATGTTGGTGTAATTTAATGCCCTGAATGCTGATGGGATGGTTTGAAGGTTAATCCATTAACCAGTACAATTATTAATAATTTAGAGCAATCAGGCAGATTAAAGGAAAACGTGCACCTAGTCTGGATGTATTTGCATGCTGCTATCTGCAGGCCCCTGCAGGGAGGCAGATATCCCACATCAGATGTCATCATGGCATAGAACCCATAGAAATATTTACATTTAATAAAGTTGCAACTGAAAACTTTCATCAGTTTTATTTGAGTAGTGCATATTTGTGAAGCGGTGGAACAATTATAAGTGGTGTAGAGAAGATCGATATTTAAATCCTGAGTTTTGGAGCCATTGCAAAGCATGCAAAAGCTCTAATGTTAGGATTTCCCTCTTAGCTCGGGCTGTGTACTTCCAACTGATTGTCATGCAGTTGGAAGGTGAAACTTTTCTCTTTTCTAAAGTTGGTTGCACCCTTCTTTTCATCTACTCTGATGAGCCTCCCTGACCCTGGTGAATAAATGCATCCCCACATCATGATGCTGCCAACACCTTGTTTCACTGTAAGGAAGGTGTGGTCTGGTTTGCGTCCATAGTGATTTTTGTATTAAACAAGAAACTTACATTCTGATTTTTTCTGAGTTGAATACATTCTTCCCAATTTCTCATGTGTCTCTACATAACTTTGAGCGGTTTTCTTTGCCCAACTATTATTCAGCATTGAATAATACATAAAGGTCGGACTGGGACATTGGGTTTCTGCAGCTCCTCCATAGTTTGCTTGAGCCTCTTTGTGACGTTTGTTTGAATTTAACGAATGAGGGGAAAAAAATATTCCTGCCCAAACATTTACTCTGTTCTTAATTTGTTGTATTGTTTTCATATTTTTTATGTTTTAATAATGATTTGATTGAATTAAGCTCAGCTCTGGATTCAAGTCAACTCTGTTCCGATTACGTACTCTAAATCCTTAAAAATATTAAATAATTAAACAAATCTAAATGAAAACATAACTTAGGCTGAAAGGTCTTTGTTTTTAGAATTAATAATGTCCTATAGAAGATTAACAAGACAAATACTAAACTTTTTAGAGGTTGTGTCTCCAGTTAAATCATGGTTGAGTTAAGATCTGGTCGGTGAAGTGTAGTTTAAGGAAGCATATATTCAGCTCTTTTCTAGAAAATCTTGAAGGAACATTTACAGCCTCCTTTGTGAGCTTCATCTCAAGCACATTTGGGTTATGCAGTAATTTGATACAAAGCACACCAGAATGACCACGGTTGTTTTACTCAAAAAGCAAAATAAGGATTTTAAAGTATCTATCTTTAAGAAATGAACTTTTCTGAAGGGGTGAAATGCTGCTGTTCAGTGACTGGTTGTGTGTTTCTACAGCGGAAGTGGCGCATCAGTTTCAGTATGCCGTGCGAGTCATTGGCAGCAACTATGCCCCCACCATTGAGCGAGACGAGTTCCTGGTGTCAGAGAAGATCAAGAAGGAAAGTAAGTTCATCACTTGGAACATCATTGAAAATGCATTTATGATGTGGACTGCATGCCAAGTGCTAGCATTCGTCAAATCATAACAATAATTGAACTTCATTGATCTCACATTGGAGAAATTCACCTCTGCATTTTACCCATGCCCTTGAGGAGCAGCAGGGTGCCATTGTGCAGCACCTGGGGAGCAGTGTGGGGTTAAGGGTCTTGCTCAGGGACCCAGAGTGGAGGCTGTGGGGATATTACCGGGTACTTGCACCCTTCTCAAAGCACAAGCGCACTGCTCTAACCACTAGGCCATCACTCCCCTGAATCATAGCATCCATATGGTACTTGGCATCAGATGTGACAGCATAGCACACAATAAATCCATGCTATATCCTTAAGATTGTGCTGAAACAGCTATAGGAAAACAAATAATTGCACCATAGCCTCTAATCCCAGTGGACTTGTAGAGTAGCTGATGAGGCACAGTGAACGGGAACGCATTGATCCGAGGTTCTGCTCTGATAATAAAACAGAAATAGCTCCACACTTCAAAGACTGCAATAAATGGACGTTACTGATTTCTAATGGATGTTAAATTATACCTTTAAATAAAGTTGCTTTAAATCTACGAAATTTCAGTTGAAAACAAAAATGTAAGGGAAACATTATGAGTGGTTGTGATAGGTTTATCTGAGGACCCCTCCCCAGCTAACTGTAGCTTTGTGTTGCCTTTGCAGTGTTGCGGCAGAGGAGAGAAGCAGATGCCGCTCTTTTCTCAGAGCTGCACAGAAAGCTTCAGACGCAGGTTTGTATTTTCTATTAAATGTTTTCTTTTTTTGCAGAAAGCTATGATCCTACATCTCAAAGTGGTGGATTCATTTACAATCCCTTGTAAACGCAATAATCCCCATTTAACTTATTCTCATTTAGTCACATTAAACCCCCAAAGGTTGCTCATAATTACTGGAATTTATGGCTGGAAAATATCTCATACACATTAGATGATGTTTGTTTATTAAATTAGTAGAAGTTGGAATCTTTGATCAGCAAGGTTGACAGGATCCGCTACAGAAATTAAACTAAACGATAAATATTTATGTTGAAGAAATGAAAGATATGAAAGCATCACTTAAACATAGAAACAATTGAGTACTTTGGTTGTTGATGCTGTTTTGTTGTTTTAATAAACCTGTAGATTATTGATTTTGTAGAAATGTTTGTAAATTCCACTACTAGTTTTGGTCATGACTCAACTCCGGTACTATTTTGTAGGTCAGAAGCTGACAAGTTTGCAAACCTTTGTTCAATTGGAATTTTTATTTTGTTTTTTGTTTTTTAGAAACCACTAAAAAGGTGTATTTTGGACTATATTAAACAGCTGAAACAATTCATTGGATCAATCAATTATTTAAATAATCTCCTAACTAATTTAGTAATCGATTAATCGTTAGCGGAGTATAGAGACTGTAAAACATTCCTTTAGCTGACAGAGAAACCCACTTAGAGCAGTAGTAACACCAAAATTAGGAAAAAAATATATGACCATTGTGTATTTGAGATAGAAAAATATTTTTCATCTGTCAAAAAAAGATATATATATATTTTGCAATGTAAGATTTAAAAAAATGTCAATATACTCTATCCAGAACTCTTTAAATGGAAAAGTTTGAGTTTCACCTGTTTAGATTTTTTTTATTTCATAAAATGTCTTCTTTCAGGGAACCTTTGGCTATCTGATTATTAATAAATTAATCAAAAAATGTATCCACACATTAATCGATTTGAAAAATAATCATTAGCGAGTTGCTTTATTTTCCCCTTATGCTAGGGTTGTCACGATACTAAACTTTTCAACTCGATACCAATACTAAGGAAAATATTCGATACTCGATACCATTTTCAATACCACAAGGATAAAAACTCCACATTTCAACAGAAATATTTTGATTAATAATTAAAATACAATAAATAAATAAGTACAATAAACAATAAGAACAACATTTTGATGTTGTTTGCTGTGCATAGTATTAAGCAAGCTTGATAACCTTACAAAATTAAAATTAAGTATTCCTTCCTTGGCTATGCTTTCCACACATAACAGTGACACTAGCCAAACCAGTTAAGAACAAAAATAATTCTCAGCAGCTGCACCTTAAAAAAAAAGTGAAACTGAAAAGTGCACACAATTATTCAATCACACAGTGTTCAGAAAGTGCATTTTCCTCTATTCTGCACTTTAGATGAATGACTGCTTAGGTGCCACTCGTGGTAGCACTGTATCGATACTTTTGAAAATGAGTATTGTATCCGGATACAACGTTTCAGTATCGATACTTTTTTAAGTATCAATACTTTTGACAACCCTACCTTATGCAAAATTTTCTTCTCTGTCCAGGGCATTTCACAACAAACGCTGGTTAGGCTGAAATGTTAAAAAATACCCTGAAATTAGTCAAATAATCAGACTATTATTGAGCATAACGGATACTGAAAATGTGTTTTTAAACACATTTATCTCCTTTTTCGCACATATTTCTAAGAAAAACACTTTGTTTCACCAAACAAAATGCAGCATTGCTGGACCTGTGCATTTTGGCAAGGGTGGATCAGAGCAACATCTCATGTAACTCATGTAAACATAAGTTAGTGAAAGAAAGATATTGGTGAAGCATTTAATAATAATAAAAAAACACACCCTCCCCCTACTAATCGTAAAAAAATCCTGAAAAGAACCAGATCTGTTTTTTTAAGATGCAAATCCAATCATACTGAGGAGATTTCTAATGGCAGTTGGAGCCTTTGGTCAGTTTTATGAAGTGGTTTCAATGTTAATGGGGCTTAAATCAAAGGTTGTGGTTCTAATGTGTGAATATTAAAAACTTTTTCAAGCTTTTGCAAACTTTTGTGTAAACATTTTTTTCTCTGGTTTTCAGGGTATCCTTAAGCACCGCTGGTCAGTTCTGTATCTGCTGCTCAGCCTCTCTGAAGACCCCCGCAAACCTTCCGGCAGGGTGGGAGAAACACAGCTTTAAGATGTGATTTTTTGCTCATCTGATGGAAGTGAATTTTTATAGCTTCAACTGTCCTCCTCAGGTTGGGAACTATGGGGCACTTTTTGCCCAGGCCCTCCCCAGGGACGCCCACTCTACCCCATTCTACTGCACCCGACCCCAGAGCTTGGCCCTGGGCTATGGGGAACGGAGCGCTGCTTTGACTGGAAGCGTTGGGACCAGTGGAATTTCCAGCCTAGGAGTCTACACCTTAAATGGTCCCACTCCGACGCCGCAGTCACTGCTGGCTGGGTGAGTTTTCACACATCATTTTTATGAGTACACAAAAAAAAGGGAGGAAGTTAAATGTTTAAACTATCTTGGCTGTTATCAGTATACCTGTATCACAATCAGCTGGGATTTAGTAGTCCCACTTTAGAGGCTTTCAGTAGGACAAGGCTGTTAATCTGATGTTTCTATAAAAGTCCCCTGTGCAAGATGCGACAAGCACCAATTAGCTCCAGGACACAATCTCACCCTTTAGCCTTAGCTGCTATAAACAAAGGTTTATGAGGCGTCAGAAGGCCATTTCACCTCCATTTGCTCTCATTAATGATGCAGGAGTCCTTCAGCTAAAATGTGACCAGTAAAAACTCTGAGTTCACCTTCAAACTGGGGAATGGCGACATTAAGGCGTTCAATTGCAAAACGTATAGCTACAGCTTAATGATGCAAAGTGGACCATCCTCTTCCATCCATCTGCCTCTTATTTATCAGTTCATCAGGGTCAGTGTTTATTCAGGCAGCTCGTTTGAAACCAAAAGATAAAAAACACTCTAGTATTATTGTTTTTTTGTTTATTGACCCAAAACCAAAATAAATTATCATAAATAAATCTTATAAATCTGATTTATGATTTTTTTTTTTTGCCTTTTTCAGTAAACATAACTGAAAAAAAAAAAAAATGAGAGCTTGATGGCTCACTTTCGATTATTATATTTTTCACATGTAGCCTAAACGTGGAATTCACTCCGCCCCATATAAAGTCCAAAACTGTATAAAATGTATTTCCTTTTTAGTGCCAGGAAACCTTATATCCAAATTTTGTTTTGTATGAAGATTAAAAAAAAATCAGAAAATTAAGTTATATGGGTTTAATCAATCAGATGGATGGCATGTTTCAAACTAAACATTGAAAAAAAAACTGTTTTAAATAAAATCAGAAAGCTTGAAAAAATAAAGTCTGCTTCTGCAAAAAAAACAAAAGTAATAAAATGTAGGAGGGGTAATGTTGGTCAACTACATTTTTTGGTTACATTTGTGTAGATGTAGTGTGTTTATGATTGCATGAAGGAACCAAAAAAAGCCATAAACAAAGTGGCCATGAGCTGCTTTAAAATTCAGAGGGGTTTTCTAAAATTTGGTTTTACTAAACATTCACATCTAGTAAACACATTTTGTATCATTTGCAAGAATATAAGAGTGAGTTTGAATAAATAAAGGGAACTGGGGCAGTTCCCCTGATGGTCCACCTATTTAAAAAAGGGGACCAGAGGGTGTGTTCCAACTACAGAGGAATCACACTCTTATGGGCTGGTTATAATCCCGCAGCAGTGTGTCACATTGAGCTTGTCGCAGGTATGATGTAGACATTTTGGATTTATGCTTAATATTGAAGCGTGGTCTGCGCTATGTTATTCCACGCCACGACGTAAGAGGGACAATTACAAACTAGCTGTGGGTCTAGATACGGCCTCAGGGTTGAGGAAGGGGCAAGTTTGTCCAACAACAGAGGGACATGATGGTCCGTCTTCACGAGTCGTTTTCTGCAATTGCGGTCATACAAACAAAACAAGTTGGTAAGATGCCAAACAGGAAATAAGCATATTGTAGAGCGGAGGTAGAGCTGACCAATCAGAGGCCCCCTGTCTGCAGTAAGCTTTATTTTGGAGAGGTGCATCAGTGGATGGATAAGCTATAAATTCAAAGATAAAATCAAAAGTTCTTCCTTTTTTTTCACTAACGTAAAAACAGCTTTTATCCATTTTTTCATTTTGCTTTAATTTTGTCAAAACTTTTGGAACAGTAACACTTTTTTCAATTTATGTTTTGAAAAAACTTTCTTTGTGAGTTTTTGTCCTGGTTTTTCCAAGATATTCCATTAAAATATATATTCCATTTAAAACTCCAAAATTTCATCCATAATTATTTTGATTAAGACACGTTTTTGTTATTTGATTGAATAATATTGAGACAAATTCATCACCATATAGAACCAGATCACAAAGTAATCCAACCAGATCAGTGCGAGTACAAACCAGTGCCATGTTCTGTCTTCTGCAGTCAACCCCCCCAGTCTGCAGCTGCAGGCACTCAGTCTCTGGGCTCACGGTTAGCCTGGACTCTACCCATTAGCTCCTCCCCTTCTACCATCATGGCTCCGCCCACGACCAGACCATCCCTTTGTCCACAAGTGCCAACCACCAGAGCGGTCCGTCCTCACAGAGACGGAGATCAAGCCAGTGAGTAATGTGAAAGGACAAAAAAAAGAAGTGAAAACAGTTATTGGGCTGCTAATTAACATGTACAGTTATTAATGTCACTCACTTAGTCGTTGAATCCACCACTTTCACTCTTGTGAAAATAGTGAAAGTGAAAAGTAGTAGTGCATAGTTTTGCATGCATGTGCTCAGAAGGTCTCTGCGTGGCCCACTTGTTATTGCAGGATAAGAAAAGTAAAATAGTTTATGGATTCTAAATGACTTTAGACTATGATAAATAAAAAAACATGATTTTATCAATTTAAACATGCCTTACTCAGACATTTGAATCATCTTTAGTTGTTTAGACCTGTCTTTACTTCTTTATAGTCGAATTAAAATCAATTTATGTGAGAAAGTGGCATAACCTCCAAATGTTTGTTAAACTCCACCTTTGACCAACCATCTTCTTCCGCTGCAGGTGAGGTAAGCGAAGCAGCGTTGGTTCGGGACATCCTCTTCGTCTTCCAGGGAATCGATGGCAAGTTCGTCAAGATGAACGCCCAGGATAACTGCTACAAAATAGACAACAAAGTACGAAAACTTTTCAAGAAACCACTGAAGGGGAATTTCCTGAACTAATCGTCGAGCGTCATGATAACTAATGTGTGAAAAGACGTTGGGATAAGATCATCGCCATTTATAGCACTATAGCTGATCAATGTACCTTGGGGGAGTGGAGGCCTAGTGGTTAGGGCTTTGCGCTTGAAATTCAGATGTTCTTAGTTCAAACATGACTCCCACAGCCCACAGTCTGGGACCCTGAGCAAGACCCTTAACCCCACACTGCTCCCTGGGTACCGCACAATGGCAGCCCACTGCTCCCCAAGGGGATGAGTTAAATGCAGAGAGTTAATTTTATTGCTCTGTACTTGTGACATTGTAATGACAAAGTTGAATTCTATTCTGTTTGATGCAAAGGCTTCAGGTGGGAGTTGCTCCGTTTTCTCTCACCTGGACTAAACATAGGTTTCTGGTCGATAAGCTCCATCAGGACACACTCCCAAAGGAGCTTCAAATAAGTTAGTCGAGGTCAGAGATATTTTGGAGTGTTTTTTTTCCTGCATGACCTCTCTGTAAAGCTTCCCAGATAAAAGGATTTGTTAAGCTGCTGAAAATTTAATGCCTCATTAAATGTAAACCATTATCTTGCCGGGAAACCACGCTGATGCTGCTTAGTGGGCATTCTGGGTACATTGGCTGAATGATGGACACAGCAGTAATTTCAACTCTGTGTTAAAGACAGCTGCTCATATTTAACAATCACATATTTTAAAGGATTTTAGGTCTCAATTTGTAATTTTATTGTATCTTAAATTGTATTATATTCCTGATTGTTTATTTTCATAGCTTTAACATTACAGCAGGTTAAAACCACATAAGCAGGGTAGGACACTCTAGTTTCCAAGGATACCGACCTTAAGGGATGTGCCAGAACATGTCTCTGTCCTGAAGCATGTTTTTCAGTGTAGATGTTTCATAAACTTTTGAATGCCATCACTTTAAGTGCTGTAGAAAGAAAAGTGTTTGTGGGGTTTTTGTTTTAGAAACTTTTAAGTCTCCAAAGGAAAAAAAAATAGTAAAACAAAGTTTCTAGTTCTATTTTTGAATTGTTAAGGGAAAGACTTGTATAGCAGTTTCCTAGGTAGTTGGGGAAAATATGTTGTTAGTAGATTGGAGACCTAATAGGCAGACAGCCTACCTGGAGAATTAAAAGCACACTTGGGTAAACCTAGTCTGCCTGGAAATTCTCCACATTAGCAAAGGTTGATGTCAACAAAACACAAATAAATAAAAACCTGTTAAATGTCTAGAAATATTTGCTACTGCTGTTGTCCATCAAGAACACCAGCATTGTAATTTGGACGCACCCTCCCCAAATTCTCCCAAAATAGATTTCACCATTATAAGTAATAAACTACCTTATATTAGCAAGCAATCCAGTTCTCCTGGTAAATTGGGAAACTGTAACTGTTGAGTTTTTCTACAAATAATCAGATTTGAGTTTTACTCTGATTTCTTTTTGACAACACAACAGTAATGCACCTCTAAAAATTCCATTCTGAAGACATTTCTTTCTAGAGGTATGTTGTTGTTTTTCACATTGTTTGGAACTAAGAAGTCCAATCAAATGAATGCAAATGGGAGGCAAGTTCAAATACTGACAAATCTGCTGTTGATTTTGCTTAGATAGGCCACTGATACAGCTGCTTCTCATAGAAGCATGGAGATGAAACGTTGTGAGGGTGTGATGGCAGCAGATGCCATGTGTTATGATTCAGAAGCCTTATGCTAAAAAACGACACCTGCAATCTGCAAGATGATAACAGGAACTTTGCTCATCCACTGGCCCAGAGTTCCCCTTCCTTTAAAGTCAATAGTTCAGCTATTTCATAGGCATTTGACACAATGTTTCAACAAGGGGAGAGGGAAATATACCCATCATCAGTTATTTATTTTCCCTGAAACTCACCGAAATTCTAAACAATAGTTTCTTTTAGCTACAAATGCTAATTGATTTTTTTTTTTTTTTTCTAATTTCTTTGAGGCTTAAAAAAAAATACAGTACAGATTTTTTATGTTTCATATCTAGATTTTTGGATGCACTTCTGTAAGAGCATAATATCTTCTTGGATACTATTCAAACTATTTTCCAGTATTTTCTTCGTGATACAAATTGGATACAATAAAAAAAAAAAATTTACCCAGTTTGTATTATATATGTAATAAATGCTTTCCTTCACAAGGTGGTGGTATGCAAGTCCCTCAGAGACATCAGCAGCAGACTGGCTGAACTTGGCTGGCTCCACAACAAAGTCAGGAAGTACACCGACGCCAGAACCCTCGACCGAGCCTTTGGATTGGTGGGACAGGTGTGTTTGTCATATCTACCGTTTTTATGCTCAGTCTGTTCTTTTTTTTTAACCCCTCCTTATTTTTAAACCTTCCAGAGCTTCTGTGCATCGCTTCATCAGGAGCTGAAGGAATACTACAGGCTCCTCTCTGTCCTCCACTCGCAGGTAAACATATACATGTAAACACAGGCTGATAAGATAGGGAGACTTTTTCTTTTATTTCACATAAATTCAAATTAAAAGTTGTAGTAAGCTAAAGCCTTTGACTGAAGACGCCATGAAGATGCTCACGGTGGTCTATAATGTTCTCATTTTTGGAAAGAATTGTTCTTTGTGAAACTGTCTTCCATTAAGTTTTCCAGCCGTCTTTAAATCTCTGTCTGCTCCTATGGCCAGAACTTCTTAGCTTCGTGAGACCATCCTGATTTCGCGAGCTTTCGAGATTTCGCTCGCTAGTCAGTCTGGAGACTCTCCGTTGAAGAAAATTTGGTGCCGTTCTCCAAACGAACGTCCAATCAGCTTTGGCTTTGAGGCGGGTTGAGGTGTGACGCAACGAGAAGCACGACAGTTCAGTCTAAAGAACATGGCGGCTTCAGCCGATGAAACTAGCGTTAGCGTGGCTATCGAGCAAGTTTTATTGGAATTACAGAGTATTTCTTCACTGAAAGAAGAGCAAAACACTGCTCTGGAGGCTTTTCTCAGAGGAAAAGATGTTTTTGCTCTTCTCCCGACTGGTTTCGACAAGAGTAGCCTGGCTGTTAGTACGTCATTTGCTTCGTTGATCTGATTGGTTTATTTGGCCCGTCTATCACCAACATAGGCCAATCAGCTAACCAGTATTTTTGCCCCTTCCCAAAATTACTTCAGCCGAAGGTTTCCAGATGGATATGCGGAGCAAATCCATCTGGCGGAGTCGGGTTAAGAAGTCCTGTCCTGCCGGAAGGACATAAGTCAGGGATAGGATCCTGCAGCCATGTTTCAGTAACACACAATACTCCATTTGTAGTATTCTGGCTGGGTTTGTAGTTCTTCTAACTTGTTTCCTAAAAATCTGACATTACCCATAATGACTGATAAAAGATATGGCTTGAATTTCCTCCTCCTCTCTCTTCTCCTTGCTCCCACCCTGCATTCTCTCCACCTTTTTTTTTTTTTTTTCTTAAGAAGTAGTTCAGCTTTTGAGATGTAAATAATCTGCTCTGTTAGAAAACGACAACTTGATATGGTTGCTATGGATAACAAATGTCCCAAAATGAAAAGATATTGTCAAAAATTATTACCATGGGTAAAAAAAAAAAAAAGGAAACCTTTTGATCCACAAACAGGCACACAATAAAAAAAAAAAGAATATTAGAATAACATAATTCTAGATTCAAAGGGTATAATCTGAGAAAAATCAGTTAGTTACATTTTGTGCGTCCTTTAGTTGCAGGTAGAGGATGAGCAGGGTGTGAACATGTGCACAGAGAGCAGCTTAACCCTGAGAAGGCTTCTGGTCTGGATGTACGACCCAAAGGTGCGACTGAAAACGCTGGCTGCCCTCGTCGACTTCTGCCAAGGTGGGTCAGATTCCTACTTCACTTTATATGGGCATGTCATTTTATGTTAAAGCTACAGTGTGTAATAATTACAGGCATATAAAGTCAGAAATTTAATATATTATACATAACTATGTTATTTATCATCACCTATGAGCTCAGCCTTTTAACCATAATATTTGCGCTGCCTTAGAATTCGTTATTTATAATTACATAGGAGCGGGTCTCGCAGCCATGGAGGCTGACATCTTTGCGCTACGGCAAGCGCAGAGGCAACAAACTAGCGATTGCGAGATCTCCCATGACGCTCAAAAATAACTACGGCAAGTTGAGAGAGATGAACTGAGACGGTACTGAACAGTAGATGGCAGTATTATGCCTGAGAAGCGTTTAGTCTGCCTGAAACCAAAGAAGAAGAAGAAGCAGGTATACTGCGCATCAGTAACAAGAAAGGTGAACAAAGGCGGCAGGCGTGAGTGACTTTGCAAACTGTTTGGCACTGTGTGGCCAAACATCAGACGAATGGAGGATCATGCCTACTCTGTATCACAACGAAAAGCGGCGGACACCGAACCCCCGTCATCTAAGAAGCGGAAACACGACGAGAATAAACGCAAGCGTGACAAGAAACGGCAAAAAACACGGATCAACATTGGCACGGCATTTACACGATGGAAGTCACTGATGGAGGAAAAAGGTTTTCAAAGTGACGCTCAAGTTGCCAGTTTTCTCTTGGACAGGTAATTAATCCTACACACACAATTGTCTAATATCACTGCAGTTTTTGGAGTACAGGATGCTCAGACCTGTCTAAAACAATAACATGCTGCGGCGTGATGATGCTGTTCCTCTCCAGTATACTTATTCAGCAACGTCCCTGACGTTTCATAGGTAATGATTCAGTAATTTTCTGTAAAATAATTTTCTGGATATATACCTCGGTTACTTCTCTCCGGCTCCTTTGGAGATCTTCAAGCGTTTCCTCCTCTGCTCTCACCCCGCTGGCACCCCTCTCTCGCCTGGCCCTAGCTGCACGGCCTCCCTGCCTTCGCCCTCGTCCTCTCCCTCTTCCTCGCGTTGTAACCCCCGTGCCACCAAAATGACTTGGACTCTGTAAACGGGGAATATATATTCTTCCAGCGAACACAATCTCGCTGTTAAACTAATGACTACAATTAGTAGTCTGTTTATATCACCATGCAAAGCAGCTCACCAAAACGTCACAACGATGTAGAAAAAATAACGGGTATATTTATTATCTTAAATCTACATGAAATCTATACCCTACTCAGACTAATGAAATACTATCTGTAAAATTATCTATGTAAACAAACCTCATCACTTGAGAGGGTAGGTGATACGGACGTCGTGGAAGAAATTTTGTCCCGTAACGCTCGCCGTACTGTTGGGGGGGAGAAGCGGTGGGGGGGAGATGTTCATGTTGCTGCGGTCTGCAGTCTGACCGCTAGATGTCGCTGAAAATTACACACTGTAGCTTTAACACATCTGTTGCACAGAGTCTGACCTGATCTTTGCATCTCTGTAGGTCGTAAAGGAGGCGAACTGGCCTCTGCGGTTCATGCCTACGGAAAGACAGGAGACCCGCAGATGAGAGCGCTGGTCCAGCACATCCTCAGCCTGGTGTCTCACCCCATCCTCAACTTCCTCTACAGATGGATATATGATGGCGAGTTAGAGGACACTTACCACGAGGTGCATTCATTTCCTGTTTAGTGCTAATCTGATCAGTATATGAAACACTTGCCTAAACGCCATGCTTTACGAAGCAGCTAAAGGCTGGCCTTACTGAGTTCTTTAGGAAGAAAAACTCATTAAGAGTTGATTCGTTATATCTGGGACATTGTTCTCTTCTGATGTTCTGACGTTTGACCCCAATGAAGGAAACCATTAGTGAAATGGGGGGGAAGAAAGAAGAGAGCAATAGACCTGCCTCTTAAATGAGAACTGATGAGAGCAGCTTAATGGAGACCACCATGATGGATCCCTCTCCTCTACTTTCCATTGCCTTTTCACCCCCACTCCTCCCATCTCACACTGTATTTATGAGTTCAGCATGATCTGTTAGACTGGACTGGATTTAAGTGCTGTGTTTAAGACTACCCAAATTAAATTATTAAACCTTTCAAGGCGTAAAATCACCCATGAGGCCTCACACAGACACCACATGGAAAGAGCTTCAGGGATGGCTTGGAAGATATTCAAAACCGAACAATGCATAGTAAAAAAAAAAAACATTCAGGTTTATTTTGCAAGCATCTACACCAGTTTCAGTCCAATAAAATGAATACATTTAAATAAAAACCTTTTGCTTGTGCTAAGAGAATCAAATTTCAGCCTAGGTTTTATATTTTGATGCCCTGTAGATTAGCTCACTAGACATTTCATGACTTTTTAAGGTAAGTATCCCATTTTGAAAGCACTAAAGCCCAAAAAAACAAGAAAAATTATCAGATCACAGTGGACTATAATTAAACAAAATGTTTCTCCAGTTGTATACATAAAACTTATAAGATTGATTTTAGTCTGCGCTTATTTGGGGCACCAGTAAGATTATGTTAATCACATTAAATGTGTTATTTAAAGATATATTATAAGTTTTTACTAAAAAATGTCTTTTTACAGGGTTTCTGCGGGTCATTAAAAATCATTAAAAGTCATTAAATTATAATTTTTGAAATTAAGGCCTTAATTGGCATTAAAATTCATTCAATTTGATTATTGTGGCATTTAAAATGCTTTATAAAAAAAAAAAAAAGTTAATAAAATTATTATATTTGCGCAGAACTGTCTCTGGTTGATCGTAAAGCCGTACGTTCAGGAATAAAAGCTCGAGGAGAAAAAGCTAGAGCATTGGAAAATGCAAATTTCTACAAAAGTGACTGCAAAACGACGAATTCGGGACATGGCTGCAGCCTGTCCATCGTAAAGACGACAAAAGATTTTGCCGTATTTATATGAGAGTCATGGGTGATTGTTGATGGCATTAACATTATTTCTAAGATCATTAAAAAACATTAAATAAGAGTTACTCATGCCTGTATAAACCCTGTTATAATAGGCTAAGGCTAAAACAATGAATCGGTTTAATCGTGATTAATTGATTACTGAAATAATCGTCAACTAATTTAGAAATCAGTTAATCGTTAAATGGAGTATAGAGACTGTAAAACATGCCTTTAGCTGACAGAGAAACCCACTTAGAGCAGTAATTATACCAGAATTATGATAAAATATATGAACATTGTGTATTTTAGAAAAATATTCTTCCTCGGTCAATATGCGCTATCCAGAACTCCTCAAGTGGAAAAGTTTTAGTTTCACCTTGTTTAATTAAGTAAAAAGTCTTTAAGGAAGCTTTGGCTATCAGATTATTAATTCAATCAAAAAAATAATCGATACCTGCAGCCCTATTGTCTTTTTTTCTTTTATGCTTTATGACTAAAACATGGTTTTTAGCAGACTGACACCTCAGTGATTCAATGAATCTATAAGCTTGTACCCTTTTTACCCTGAATTTTACTTTTGGGTCAGAAGTTCCTACGCTGAACTGTGGATGTGACGTTAAGCACGTCCATGTTAAAGCTAACAAAGCGTTATATTCAAGATGGATTTTGTGGATACTGAAAAGCGGCCGGCATCCAGCTCGACTGGGACATCAATGGCAACTCCATTTATGGTGAAAGAGTACAAATAAAAGGTTTAAAAAAAAAAGTAGTAGAGGTTTTGGGATAAATGAAAATTAAAGCCACACCTTTGCACTTTTGTTTAGCGATTAAAAAACCCCGCTCAGAATGAGATTTTGTTTTCCTTTCAGTCTATTAGCAATGTGCAGGATATTGTTTTGCTATATCAAAAACTAAATAACAAAATTATGTAAAAAAAAAAAAAAAAAAAAAAAAAAGGGACTTTTGCAGGATATAGTTTAAAGGGGCTCTCTGGTGGGTAGATAATGTTTTAATGTGTGCTAATGTAAATTATATCTGTCTTCTTTTGCTGGACATGTTAAACCATTTTTAAAAAAACATTTGTTTCTGTCTTTTTAAGGCTTTTGTTTTTGTTTTTTCAGTTCTTTGTAGCATCAGACCCCAATGTCAAAACTGATCGCCTATGGCATGACAAGTACTCCCTCAGGAAGTCAATGATCCCCTCGTTCATCACCATGGACCAGGCTCGTAAGGTAAACACGCATTACAGATGGGACTGACTGGTCTCTATGACGAGGACATGGGACTATAGAAACAGCGGAGGTGCTTCACAGCTGATCATTTTCTTCATTTGTCTCTTTAGGTTCTGCTGATTGGCAAATCCATCAACTTTCTGCATCAGGTTTGTCACGACAGAACGCCTCCGGGCAAAATCACACCAGCGTCCAAACCTGCCGACACGCCGAAAGATGGTAGGTTCTCCCTTCTACTGTTTTTCTTTTATGTAGTTTTTAAATAAATAAAAAAATTAAGATAACCTTAGTATCAAAAGATTTAAAAAGATCAATTGGTGTATTAACGGAAAAAAGCTGGTCTGATGCAAAAAAAATGATTACGCCCCTCTGGTTGAATCAGGTCTGATTGCTGCCTGGACTTTATAATCACGAAATCACCTAAACAGAACCCCTCTGACAACACGAAGTAGGCTAAAAGATTCCCAAAACAACACATTCCCCGACCTAGAGACGTTTCAGAACAGACGAGGAAACAGTCATTGACACTTAATGGTTGGGGACTCCACTGAACCACATTGATAACCATAATCACAAATGGAGAAAACCTATAAGACTGGCAAACCTTCCCACGAGTGACTACCGTAATTTTTGGACTATAAGCCGCACCTGAATATAAGCCGCAGAAGCTAAATTGCATGATTTTATACACGCCGCACTACAAGACGGACTATAAGCCGCAGGTTTTTTATGTTTTATTACCATATGGTTCGTGCACAGAGAGGAATGTCGGGGAAAGAGGCAACTGTTTGGGGAAGCTCCTATTTATAAACATTTCAACACAATTGAATTGAGACAATTCTTCCTGCTGGCGTCTCCAATGTCTCACCATTGACTTGTTGATTCCAAGGTTACGTGCAGCGGTTCTATTTCCTTCGTTTACTGCCAAATTGACTGCCTTTAACTTAAAAGCTGCATCATATGCATTTCAACGTTTGTTTACCATAATGAGGGTGTGACACAGACTGTCTTGCGCTCGCAATTTCCGTCTTTCTTGGAGTCCGCTTCCGAAGGGCGTCCGCATTCCCGTGTGCGTGGCTACCTGTGTGTTGAAGCAAATGTGACGTCAACATGGTGGATGGTAAAATCCATAGATTTAGGTACCGTATTACCCTAGTGGCCGTTAGCTGTAAAAGTCCATAGATAAGCCGCATTGCTATATAAGCGCAAGGTCGAAAAATGGTCGAAAATGGGGGAAATGTCGCGGCTTATAGTCCGAAAATTACGGTAGTTAAGTTAAACGTTTTGTAAATTGTACATCTGATGTTAAATGAACAAATTGGAAATCACTTCGACATCTACCCACCAGTCCCTTTGAGCTCGGTTGGGTATTGCTGCTGGCTATAATCTGGAGATTACAGAAAAGTTTACTTGGCTAAAAAAAAAAAGTAAAGATTTTGGAGTTTCCTAGTCTTTTTTAAGGCTCTTAATATTTTAGTTATTGAGTTTAGAGTCTGATTCTTCATCGTGATGTAAAATCTTGATCCAGACTTAGCTGGATGGTGGATTGCACTGGCAAGGAAAACATCCAGTTATCAGGTTTGGTGAGAAATGTTTTGATAACATAGCTACAGGTTAGGATGGATAGCCTTTTTTATCACTTTTTAAATGTAATTTAAAAATATAATTGTTTAACATTAAACTTGCTATAAAATATTTAAGTGCAACTATAGGAAAAAAGGGTAAGTAAGGTAAGGGAATAAATAGTTTTCCACAGCGCTGTAAATATTGAACTCAGCCCTCTGTGTTATTGTTGATTGAGGCGTGCTAATGATATCAGTGTCCACTCTGTATTGACGGCTTTATTGACAAACGTTAGCGGACTGGCAGGGATCGATGCTCTTACCGCTCACCGGCCTCGTCCTTCTGACTGCAGAGACCAGAAAGTTATACTTAGAGCATAATTCATTGATTCAGACGGTAGGATTTAGTCTGATCTGTAGCTCGTACTGTGTAAAATGAAGGGCATTAGACATTAAGCTTTAGATCGGGAAAATTGTCATCTTCAACTAGAACCCCAGTCGAAAGTATTACCCTTTGTTTTGGACTTCCTTTAGAAGTCCATCCCAATGTTCCATTCCACTCCAAAGCATTTAATAATCTACTGGCTGTCTGGCTAAAGGATAAACTTTAACACAACGTGGTTTTATCTTTGACCTGCTAATGGCGGATAAAGGTTCACCTTCCCTTCTCAGTATTAAAAAGCATTGATTACCAAAACCTGTTTAAAAAAAAAAAAAAAAAAGTGAATTTACATAATTGATTTTAAATGAATCTTTTTCTGTCTCAAGTCCTTTCCATCCTCACAGCCCGCCACAGAGTTCCTCAGGGATTACATGTTGGATCACTTTAATTCATGGTGTACCTTCTTTGCTTTGTCATCTCTTCACTTATAAACAAACAAATTACCATGAAAATAAAGGATGGTTCTAGTTTAAAAACTTTGACTGAACTTGAAATTTTATCACCAGCAATGGTTTCTCTGGGCAGAGAAAATTCCTAACATTTGTATTTCCTTCCTTATGTCACTGCCTTTTCCCTCATAATGTTTTTTTCCTTTCTCTACCCTGTTCTTTTTACTTTTTTCTCCCTTTCTTATTCCTTCTTTCATCCTTAGGTTGTTCTTCCTTAGTTTTTCCATGCTTAGTTCTCCCTCCCTCCCTCCATTATCACAGATTCCTGATTAAAGTATCAATATCTGATTTCTCTGCTTCACAAAGACCCATGGGCTCCACATACAGACAATTTAAAAAGGAGTTTAGACCCTTTAAGAATAAATAATTGGATCCACGATGCTTTTAAGGCTTGATTGTTTGTTGGCCAGCATTATCTCACTAGTTTGTCAATACTTTAGCACTTTAAAACCTCCTATAATATAGCTTTTATACATAAATAAGCATGATACTGTTGTTTTTGATTTAATAGTCAAAGAATTGACTGATTGTCTCTGCCCTCCTGTAGCTGCAGAACTGCTGTCTGACCTGGAAGGAGCTTTTCAGGAGAAAATCGATGCGGCCTACTTCGACACCAGCAAGTACCTGCTGGACGTCCTCAACCGTAACTACCTGCTGTTGGAGCACCTGCAGGCCATGAGGAGATACCTGCTGCTGGGCCAGGGAGACTTCATCAGACACCTCATGGATCTGCTAAAGTTAGACTTTTTTAGCATTCTGTAATGGTCGAACAGTTTTAATGTGAAGCTTGGATGTTAAATGTAATCGTTGCTGTTCTCAGACCCGAGCTTGCCCGTCCTGCTACTACGTTATACCAACATAACCTAACTGGTATCTTAGAGACGGCTGTCAGGGCCACCAACGCTCAGTTTGACAATGCAGAGATCCTAAAGAGGCTTGATGTTCGCCTCCTGGAGGTACTACAGACATATAGACATGAGTTTTCCCATCAGAAGACAGAACAGTCTTTAAATTCCTGATGTTTGCCTTCAGGTTTCTCCTGGGGACACAGGCTGGGATGTCTTCAGTCTCGATTACCATGTTGATGGACCCATTGCAACAGTAACACCCATCAGATGTTCTTAAAAAAATTATTTTTGATAACATGTCAACACCTTTATAAAAAATAAATATCTCCCCCAGGTGTTTACCAGAGAGTGTATGGGTCACTACCTCCGTGTGTTTAACTTCCTGTGGAGGGCCAAGAGAATGGAGTACACACTGACAGACATCTGGAAGGGACAGATGTGTAACGCCAAGCTGCTCAAAACAATGCCAGGTGCGTGGAGATCAGGGTACCATCCTGCTTAAATGATCTAAACAAAGCTAACATTAGGAAAGTGACACATTACCTCAAATACAATGAAAAATACAGTATGAATTCTATAGAAAAAAAGCACCAAATAGTTAATTTATATTTATTTGTTAAATATATTTTCCTTCCTCTTCACAAAAAAAGTAAGGTGTAGTTTGTGTTTGTAACGTGACCAAATGTAAAAATGTTTCAGCAGTTTAAAGAATAGATGAAAGGTGCTTTATACCCCATTTACACTATCCTTGAAAAACCGTGCCGAGACTGGTCCGAGCTCAGTAACTGAGATAACTTATCGTGTGTAAATGGAAAGCAAACTGAACTGAACTGAGCTAGACACAACCGGACAGCGCTAACTGCAGACCAGTTCAAGAGGTGGGTTCGGCTCGGCTTTTCCCTGGCTCGGTTCTCTGATAACAAGAGCGCATGAGCAGAACGCGTCATCTCCATCTGGCTGCACATCCCGATTCACACTCCATTCCAGTAGTTGGCGGTAATGCCCCTCCGAAGAAGAACTATAAACAACTATAAACATCCACGAACGGTTGCCGTCTTCGCCTGACCTTCCGCAAACACCGAAGTACAGCAATAATAATCAAGCATAAATTTCTGAATGTGACGGGCGCCGCCATTTTGATTTGCTTGATTCCCTCCTTCTTCGTCTTCTTCTTCTTCTGTTTTATGGCGGTTGGCAAACAACTTTTGGTGCATTACCGCCACCAACTGCTTGATTTCATCCTTCAATACTGGCAGTAATACCGCAGATCGTCACGAGGAGTCGAGGAACCGAAATAGCGTGATGTGTAAACGGTCGTCAAAACCGAGCTCGGCCTGGTTAACTGATCCGAGCTCGGACCGGTCTCAGCATGGATAGGTTTTTCAAGGGTAGTATAAATTGGGTATTAGTGGCTCAGTTCAATTCAGATAGATCTCATTGAGGTTAATAAAAAAAAAAAAAAAAATATATATATATATATATATATATATATATATATATATATATATATATATATATATATATATATGTATATATATATATATATATATATATATATATATATATACACAGGTGCTGGTCATAAAATTAGAATATCATGAAAAAGTAGATTGATTTCAGTAATTCCATTTAAAAAGTGAAACTTGTATATTATATTCATACATTACATACAAACTCATATATTTCAGATGTTTATTTTGTTTAATTTTGATGATTACAAATGACAACAAATGAAAATCTCAAATTCATCATATCAGAAAATTAGAATATTGTGAAAAGGTTCAAAATTGATGGCCCCTGGTGCCACACTCTAATCAGCTAATTAACTCAAACCACCTGCAAAAGCCTTTAAATGGTCTTTCAGTCTAGTTCTATAGGCTACACAATCATGGGGAAGACTGCTGACTTGACAGTTGTCCAAAAGACGACCATCGACACCTTGCACAAGGAGGGCAAGACACAAAAGGTCATCGCTAAAGAGGCTGGCTGTTCACAGAGCTCAGTGTCCAAGCACATTAATAGAGAGGCGAAGGGAAGGAAAAGATGTGGTCGAAAAAAGTGTACAAGCAAGAGAGATAACCGCACCCTGGAGAGGATTGTGAAACAAAACCCCTTCAAAAATGTGGGGGAGATTCACAAAGAGTGGACTGCAGCTGGAGTGAGTGCTTCAAGAACCACCACACACAGACGTATGAAAGACATGGGTTTCTGCTGTCGCATTCCTTGTGTCAAGCCACTCTTGAACCACAGACAGCGTCAGAAGCGTCTTGCCTGGGCTAAAGAGAAACAGGACTGGACTGCTGGTGAGTGGTCCAAAGTCATGTTCTCTGATGAAAGTAAATTTTGCATTTCCTTTGGAAATCAAGGTCCCAGAGTCTGGAGGAAAAGAAGAGAGGCACTTCATCCACGTTGCTTGAAGTCCAGTGTAAAGTTTCCACAGTCAGTGATGGTTTGGGGTGCCATGTCATCTGCTGGTGTTGGTCCATTGTGTTTTCTGAGGTCCAGGGTCAACGCAGCCACATACCAGGAAGTTTTAGAGCACTTCATGCTTCCTGCAGCTGACCAACTTTTTGGAGATGCAGATTTCATTTTCCAACAGGACTTGGCACCTGCACACAGTGCCAAAGCTACCAGTACCTGGTTGAAGGACCATGGTATCCCTGTTCTTAATTGGCCAGCAAACTCTCCTGACCTTAACCCCATAGAAAATCTATGGGGTATTGTGAAGAAGAAGATGCAATACACCAGACCCAACAATTCAGAAGAGCTAAAAGCCACTATTAGAGCAACCTGGGCTATCATAACACCTGAGCAGTGCCACAGACTGATCGACTCCATGCCACGCCGCATTGCTGCAGTAATACAGGCCAAAGGAGGCCCAACTAAATACTGAGTGCTGTACATGCTCATACTTTTCATGTTCATACTTTTCAGTTGGCCAACATTTCTATAAATCCTTTGTTTTTATTGGTCTTCAGTAATATTCTAATATTCTGATATGATGAATTTGAGATTTTCATTTGTTGTCATTTGTAATCATCAAAATTAAACAAAATAAACATCTGAAATATATGAGTTTGTATGTAATGTATGAATATAATATACAAGTTTCACTTTTTAAATGGAATTACTGAAATCAATCTACTTTTTCATGATATTCTAATTTTATGACCAGCACCTGTATATATATAAAAGAATTGCAAAGGGACACACCTTACAAAATGCAGACATTACGATAAGAAATAAAAGGAGAAATGAAAATGGCTCTTAAACCTTTTGAATATGAAGTTAATTCTTTTACATTATTAGAAAAAGCTCAGATGGGGGTTTCATTTATTAGAGAAATATATCCATTTAGATTTTATTTTCCTAGGTGTTTTTAATTAATTTAAGGCATCTGGGGATATACTGTTTTAGTTTATTTAGGTTCACATCCACTGGTATTGATGATACAGCTAATAAAAAAGGGTCACACACCATGAAACCATGAAGAAGTAGAAAAGCCCTCAGACAGCACAGACCTCAGTCCAAGCAGCAAATGTTGCCTCATATTCTGACTTATAGATAAAACCCACACATGATCTGGACCCTTATCAAATTTTAATGAATTCTTTCATGGCATGAGGTGCACCTTTGGTAACAATTTCCTTAAAATGCTTTCATAAGTTTATAAATACGGCACAGCGTGAGTCTGCATGCTCCCACCTCCTTCATTCACTGCTTTCTTATTTGATCAGATCTCGTTACTTCAAGCGAGGCATGGCTCACCTTCCCTGTGTTTTGTCTTCAGTATAAAACTTCTGAGCGTTTTTGAGTCCGATGCTGAAGCTGTCAGTCACTGCTGCCACTCTCTGGTTTCAGGGGGAATTGCTTGTTCTGCCAAATAATGTTGAGGAATCCTTTGAAAAAAATCCTTGATAATGATTATGATGTGGATCATCACTCAAAATTAAATGGATTGTTCATTAGACTGGGGTGCACCTTTGGTAAAAAATTAAATTAATTTAATTTTATTATCCTATATGTAGATGGAGAGACAAACGGAAAAACATAACCACCTTGGTGGAGGTAAAAGTGTTTAAATAAGACATGATGGACCTACAAAATGACATGTTTTTCTTTAAGTAAAACAAAATAGTTCTGATTCACTATTTTGTTAAAAAAAAAAGAAAAGTTTTACCCAATAGAGGCTGGTAAGTTTAAAGCTAATCTGAAAATTAATTAAAAAAATGTCATCCTATGATAATTGAGTAAACGAATAAAGAAAACGAAGTCATCTGCATACAGTTTGATACAGCTTTTTGTTTAGAGGTGGTTTTTATGTAACTTTTCTAAACCTGTACACATATTACCCTTGTTTCAACTTCTTGTAATGTTGTTTTTAGTTTTGTAATATTTACGTACCCCATTCTCCTTGCCTTGCAGAGCTATCTGGTGTGCTGCACCAATGTCACATCCTGGCCTCTGAAATGGTTCACTTCATCCACCAAATGCAGTACTACATCACCTTCGAGGTTAGACCATTATCAGGGCTGGAAGACAGCAAAACAGCAATTACAGACTAAATATAGTGTTCTCTTTTTTTTTTTTTTTTACCAGTAATAGCTTAGTATGATTAATAATAGCCGGGATTATGTTTTAAAATTACTTGTGATTTTTTTTAGTTCCAACATTCTATTAAGTTTGTATTCCTTATAAGTTCATAACTTAATACCGAGTCTGCATGTAGAAGGATTAATAGAAGCATCCATTGTGTCTCATACAAGCACCACTAAAATGTTTGATTGTCCAATACTACTCCCAGAAGCAACTACTGATCTTTGTCTGTGTGCGTAGGTGCTGGAGTGCCTGTGGGACGAGCTGTGGAACAAACTGCAGCAGGCCCAGGACCTCGACCACATCATCGCCGCCCACGACGTCTTCCTGGACACCATCATCTCCAGATGCCTGCTGGACAATAACAGCAGGGTGACACAGCATCTTCTATTCTTGTTTGATATAGTCCCGCCTTCCCTTTGACTCTCTTGACTCAGTTCTGCTTTTATCTCTCCGTCTAGTCCCTTTTGAACCAACTGAGGGCCATATTTGACCAAATTATCGAGTTTCAAAATGCCCAGGACTCTCTTTACCGTTCAGCTCTGGAGGAGCTCGCCCTGCGGCTACAGTTTGAGGAAAAGAAGCAGCAGAGGGAAGAGGAGGTAAATATAAAATAAAGAAACACTGATGTGCAGTTTTTTATTTCTTTATTTGATTAGGGACAATGCACAAAATCACATTAGTCTAAGAAAGATGTGCCAAGATGTGCCATGTGAAGATGCCATGTTATAGCAAAAATGCTAATTTCCACCTGCAATCCCTGGACAGGTTGTTGTTTTACTTAGAAAAACTCATAAAATAAATACTGAATAATACATATAAGCGTCAATTTATTCACATAGGCATCATAAAGGTCACAAAAGCATCCTCAATATGCAGCCTTAGAATGGCCTAGTCAGTCTAGGCATTTTTTCCCCAAAAAAAGCTACACTGCAAACACAGATTTTTGTTTCAAGGGTATAAAAAAACTTTTTTGTTGCATGACAGTATCCTGTCAGAACCAGTGTCCATTTGTCTCCTGATTCAGGGTGAGTGGGGAGTAACCGCAGAGCAGGAGGCAGCCGAAAAAAGGAGGATTCAGGAATTCCAGGAAACCATACCAAAGATGCAATCCGAGCTTCGAATCCTTACCCACTTCTACCAGGTAGCCTCCTGTTATTCCCTTCGCAGATTTGATCACTCGCTCGGTTCAATCGGAGGCTGACACGTTTCTCCTGCTTCCACCTTCACCGCTCCTTCTCTCAGAGCATCGTCCAGCAGTTCCTCGTGTTGCTGATGACAAGTCCGGATGAGAGTCTCCGCTTCCTCAGTTTCAGACTGGACTTCAACGAGCACTACAGGTTTCTCTCCCAAAACTATTCATCTTTTTTTGCATTCTGTTTGCGGATAAAACATTTTTCTTTTAAACTTCTCATCGTTTTTGGAAAGCAGTTATTTGAGATAAAGTTGCACAACACCCTAGGGAGCAAGGAGTATGGGAAATTTGTTTAACACCATATTTTTTTAATTTCAACTGTTTGTTTTTTTTCTTTTTTTTTTACCAACCAACAGAGGAACCAGGAGTCAGGTGAGCGTGAAGGGCTCATAGAGCAAAAGCAGGACACTTTAGGTAGATTTTGTTTCCTTTGGAGAAAATACAACCCCCTAAACAGACCAAATAAAAATAGTAAATTGGTTGATAAGGTTATAAATTATGTTAAAGAGTTGTGTGTTTTTATTTCAATGTTTTTTGGCTCCTAATCTGCTTTTAAAAATGGTATTACATTTCTAACAGGGCCAGAGAGCCAAGGCTGCGAGCTTCGCTGGGAACCACCAGAGGGCGACGTGTGTCAAACATCTGACATGACTGAGGCAGCCCAGGCAGACGACGCACTAAGTGCCACCTTACAGCGTCGAGCCGACACGCCTCGGAGAAGCCTGCTCCGCTTGTATTCCATGAAATAATAGCGTCCAGGAATAAAAGGATCTTTGTGTGACATGAGGAGAAAAAAAACAAACAGAATCGAGAACTGCGACATATCCAGAAGAGTGTGAGGAGATGGATGGTGCAGCCATCAGACTGAGCTCTCCAGGTCATCTTACACGGCATGCCTTATTAAGGAGGGGAAGATCTCTCAGCGTGGTCGCAGAGTTCCGTCCCAATTCATTTGTACATAGTGTATGCAAAAATGTATGTGTTGAAACTTCTCTGCACATCAACATGTGGCTTTCTGTCTTCCCACTAGAGGGCGATCAGTATGAATCAGAGATGCATTTCTTTTCCATTTTGTTTTTAATAGAAGTTGATAAAATAATACGTTCTATTATCTGTTAGTTCTGTTGTTCAGTAGCTAGGTCTTTTTTTTTTTTTGATAATATCTGTCCGTTAGGCAGACGCTAAAGGAACAAAGTGAAAATATTTAATATTTGCATTCAGGATCCACAACTTTGTCGAACAGCGTTTTTAAAGGGAAATTTTTATTTTTAGTCTAATAACAAAACAAAAAACATTTGACACAGAAGTCCCAATTAAACGTTCTGTTGTATTTTTTAATCCTTTAAGAATGCACTTTTCTGACCCAAAACGCCTTTTTAGTCATAGACAAAAACAGGAATTCTGTATGTGGCATTTTTAACACCACAAAGGACAAATATCCCCCCAACCCACCAAGGGTTATGCAAATGTTTAAATCTTGATTTCATGACAAGTTAAAGGAACCGAAAGCTGGGGAAGGAGGACACAGCTGTATAGGCTTCAGCTAGGAAAGAAAGCTTAAGCCACGAAGTCAACAGCCAGACCATGAGACATTAAAGCTGTTGCCTTTGAGCTCAAACATCTGCTAATGGTTGCAGATTGTGTTAAATGGGTTATAACTCCCTCCGATCCTCCTGATTGTAGTGTTTTGTGAGTTTTTTTTTGTGCTAAAAAATATTTTATCTGAACCAAATCGATAGAATGAGCCATTTCTAGCGTTGTCTTGAAGCAAATTAAGGTCCTTGGTTATGTATCACACATATTGTGAGTTGAACTACCTGAGGACAGACAGATAATCTAATGGCATGACGGATGGTGTTCTCAGATAATGTTTGACAGCCATGTGCTGCTCCATTACCAATACAGTTGTGGAGAAATTGATGAGCTGAAAAACCAGCACTATGAGGGTTAAGAATAGGTTTAGTTTGTCACCTTTATAGATAAAAGCACTCTCTGCACAGAGTGCTTTTAAATTCTTAACAATTGGTCAAAAATATGCTGCAGATTTAGCCATCACTACCGCTGTCTGACATTATTTATCGCATTAATCTCCAAGTTTGTAATACTGAGCAAAATTCTTGGCTGTCACCCTTAAATTTGGCCCTTGAAATAAGCTATTATGGGTGTATGAGCTAAACCATAATTAGAGTTTATTTTAATGCCATTATTAATAATCATACAGCCACTTGAATCACCCTCAGTTTTACTTAGGGTACAATTACTCCATCCAAATATCCCACTTCATTTTAATAACAATAGTTAATATTCTTTGATGAAATAAGGCTTATTGTTGACGTTTACTTGATTTTGCTTTTAACTTATAACAGTATATTTCCTTTATTTATGGGTTAAAATAAAATATGACCATCAAAACAACAAAAACCTCACTTTTTTTCAAAACGAACTACAGGAACTGTTTCATTTTAAAAGTGTACATATTTCAACATAAATATCCATATCTGAATAATCACCTGTCAGAAATGTTTACTTGGAAAGTTTATTTTCTCATAAGTAAATCAGCTGATATATAAATATATAAAAAGTGTATTAAAGTGAGGTTTCCTAAATGTAGACTAACTCATATCATTCTTGAATGTAGATCGCAAAGAGACAGAGCTGCGATCCAACATCAGGGATGGTTTAAAGGCTCCGGTTTCCCTTCAGCATCTGTTTGAAAAGTAGTTCAACTGGTGCAAAAACGTACAAAGTGTGTTTTTTGTTCTGTTTTTTTTTTTTTTTTGGAACGCTGCTGTTCAGTGGCAAATCTTTTACTTCTGCTGCTGGAAAAAACTTTGAGGTTTTGATTAAACTTATTTTTTTTTTCCTTCCATCAGAGCAGGAGGGCCTTGTTCAGGTGCAGACATTGATTCAGGACTGAACCTGGGTCAGGACTTGTGCGCCATCTGATCCTGTGTAGCCTCTTCCTTGGTTATCTCATAATGTAAATGTTCTTTAATAAAATGTATTTTTTCTTAACATAAAAGATGTCTATGCATACTTTTTTTATGCCCGTTTTTTGTAGCAGTATTTTGGGATTAGATTTGAGTATATTGCCACCTACTGGCAATAAGGGAGAAGAATCAGACAATAAGGGAGAAGAATCAGAGGGTTTTCTACCCCTTCATTTATAAAACCATGTAAATTAGGGCTTAAAGCTAAAAAAAAAAAAAGCTAACATTTAACTTTTCAAAAACAAAAAATTATAGATGGGTTGAAAAGTATTTTTAGTTTAGAGAACTTATGGTTTACATAATTACAGGTAAGATTGCAGACTCAGGAATGGGTGATAAAATTAAATTGTGTGTTTTTGTGTATAAAATTTGTCACTACACAGTGTTAGAGGCCCTCAAACACATGATCTACCCTGAAAACAAAATAGGTTTCATTTGTGCACCAGTTAAGATATAACAACCTATGAACCAACAACCGCATTCAAGGTTTTACACTCTCTAATGCTCTAACTGAACAGTAGAAGAAAAAAAAGGTTCAGCAGCAAAGTTTCATCATCACATAAAACATTCAATCAGAGTTGGTTGAATATAGCTTGAAAATATTACCCTCTGGGAGGTGAGATTAATAACATATTTGCTGGCATTCTAAAACAGAATCCTTAAAAACTATCTAAATACATGACATCTACTACAAATAGATCTGTCGATGAGCCCAAATTCACTTCTCTTGCTGCCATGTCAGTTTAATGTAAAGGTAATTCTCATAGCTTCTATTTATGGATATAATTTACAGAAAACTAGAGGAAGATATTTGATTGTAATAGAACCAAAATGCATTTAAATCTGCCACACAGACCTAAGAGACATGCCAGCTGCTGCAACGTTCAGAGGCGTAGCCAGAAAAATTTTTTTTAAGGGTGGCCAGGCAAAGTGGATAGGCACCAGAACCAGAACCTCTGGGTCAATCTATACTATTGCAAGAGGAAAATTAACAAGCACAACATCCATATTTTCTAAATATACTTTCCTAAAGCCTTTGCTAAAAAATAGACATGTATTTAAACATCCATGCTTTCTAGATAAGGTATAATGGATACAATTCTTTCAGGTTTGAGTTCTGGGGCAAACGTCTCTTAATTTGTCATTACTTACCTACTTTTATCAACAATTCTGCATAAAATTGATATTTACAAGTAGTAATATATACATAAATTCATTATTAAGTTTTTATTAAATAGTTATTTATCTATGATTTCACTGAAGACTAGATGACTTTCAGAGACACATCATTTTCTCTTTATCCCTTATAACACAAAACCTAGTTCTGAAAAGAGCATGAATTATCATCTTAATGTTAGTATATTGATGTGTATAATTAACCACAGTGTTTCTGTTGTCAAGTAATTGTTAGTATGTGAAAAATTAAAATGTTTTGCATATTCCACTTGAGAGTATTACTGCTGCCACCATCTGTATTAGAGGGTAAAAAATTGTAGGGTGGCCAATGATTAGCTAAGGGTGTCCATGGCCACCCCTACCATTTTTTACCCTCTTATACAGATGGTGGCAGCAGTAATATTGCCCCCCCCATCTAGCTCCGCCCCTGGCAATGTTTAATTACAGGACTCCCCTGGTTTAATATAAGATATATCTACAGAATATATAAAGTAGTTGCATAACAACTAGTTTTTTTTTTCTCCTGACAGATAATAAACAACATTATTCTCTGTCATTTAATAAGATGGGAATGGGAAGAGTGAAATTCTACTATAGTTTTAATAAAAAATAACCATACCGACAACTTCCTCAGGAGCGAGCTGACTTTAAATAGCCTACGCAGCTGAAAAAGATTGGATATGGAAAGATTTTCAAAATAAAACGTGCTCCATATGCTAGACACTTTTTCTTAATTTCAATTTAGGTAAACCCTACCAAGTAAAAAAAAAAAAAAAAAAAGCAGTTAAAAAGCACAGTTTTTATATTAAAGAAAGAGGACATACCTCTACACTGGAAAAAGCGCACCTGTGGCGCGCCACGGCTTGACTGCGGTACTGACGCATGCGCCACCTAGCGTTCAGGAAATATAGCGCAACCAGACCTTAATTAAACACCTGGTGGCAATAAGTAACTCCACCCTTTTATTTTGACTGCCTTTACAGCTCCCATCAAATGTCTAAGCAAAACAAAGTAAGACTGCAAGTTGAAAAAATTTATTAAATGTATTTGAGCATTCTTTCTATCTATCTATCTATCTATCTATCTATCTATCTATCTATCTATCTATCTATCTATCTATCTATCTATCTATTACATAACAATAAAGTAGTGCAGACATATAGCAAAATAATAATAAAAAATTATATATGATGAAAAAATAATGATATGTGCTGGCACACAAACTGACAATGATAGGTCTATTTGACCAGTTTATTTTTTTATGATTCTGTTTTAATAATGAGGGAAAAATCAAAGGTATCGTGGAGGATGTTCTTTTTGTGCAACACATCCAGACGAGTGTGAGTAGATGGAAGGCGCAGCCTGGATCATCTAAATAAGTGGTCCACCTAACTGTCAATCATTTTGGTGATATGTTTGCGTAAGGCCGTCCTACGTGCTCATCCCCATTTTTACTGACATAGTTGAAATTTTCCAAATAATATTGCAAATCTTCTTTTGTTGTGCATGTGCATTTTTAACGTGGAGAGGGTGG